TTGCCTCCAGGGAGCACTCTGGCTGCACCTTTTCTAGGACATTCCTGTTATTTCTTTTGGCAATCTGTGAGAATTATCTTCTACAATACCACAGTTCAAAGGCATAGTTCTTCTATCATTCTTATTCTTCTATCAAAGGATAGTTCTTCTGTCATTCTCCTAATTGTCCATTTTTCAACAACATAGCAAGTGATTGAAAAGACTATGGCCTGAGTATATATGCATATGTGTATCTATCTAGATTTGTCAGGCATGTGTGATTGTGAAGTTGAAATGGAGTCCAGTGTGACATGGATAACCTTTCTTTAGAATGTGCAAGTAGGTGGTTTCGTGAACAACCAATTACTGAATAAATTTATTGGGAGTATGTATGTGATAGTGAAATATTTCCCTTGCTGCTTGTGATGATTAGATAAAGCAGCTGCAAAGCACCTAGCAGAAGCAACCACATCGTGTTGCTAATTGCTGTCGAGTCAAGGCAAATTTATGGTGACCCCTTGTGTTACACAGAGAACTGCTGTGGAGGGTTTTCTTGACTGCAGTGTGTATAGACGTGGATTGCCATAATTATCTTCCATGATACAGCAAGGGAGGTTCGCACGACCAACTTGGAGCCATTGGAAGTAACCGTTGTGGGAGTGGTGCTTGTACTTTTTTTTAGATAATGATATTCTTCCATTTGTTCCATAGTTACTTAATGAGGTTTACTGTTTGTCAGATACTGGCACAAGGTATGAGAAGTATGGCAGTGAATGAAAAGGCCAAAATGTGAGTTAATATTGGTGCAGGAGAATGGGAACAACTACTAAACAAAATAAGTTGATGATACAGCTCTGTTGGCCTAGTGGCAAGAAGCTGCACTGCAGTCCTGAAGGCATGCAGTTCGAGGCCACCAGCTGCTCCACAGGAGAATGATGGGCAGTCTCCTCCTACGCAAGTAACTGCCTCTGAAAACCTATCTGAGAGTCAGCTAGGGGTCAGTTCTGACTCTATGGCACACGACAGCAGGTGATACTGCACATTGGAAGCATGAGTACTAGGAAAGAAAAAGAAATGGGCTAATGAGAAGGAGAAGGTCTGCAGCTTTAACAATCACAGCTTTGACAGCAGTCAAGGAAAGCATGGCAAAGGAGTGGAGCTCATGCAGACCTGGGTTTAAGGCCCATCTTTGCTACTCATTTTGATGTTGAGATATGATCCATTTTGAAGCCACTTCAACATCAAGAAAACAAAACTCCTCGTACCTGGCAGCATCATGAGAGATAGAGAAAAGATTGAAGTGATCATTGATTTCATTTTACTTGGATCCACAATCATCACCCTTGATAGCAGCAGTCAAGAAATCAAAAGATGTGGGGTAATCTGCTGTCAGGGACTTCTTTAAAGTGCTAAAGAACAAGGATGTCAGTTTAAGACTAAGGTGTGCTTGACCCAAGCCGTAGTATTGCTATTGTTGTTGTTGTTATGTGCCATTGAGTCAGAACTGACCCACCACTGGGTTTTCACAGGCTGTTAATCACACGGGAGGAGATCGCCCATCCTGTGGATTTGAACTGTATGCCCTTGGGGTTGCAGCCTAGCTTCTTATCATTAGGCCACCAAAAAGATGTACTAATAGCATTGGAAACCAATGGAGGATTGCTGTGAGGTGGACTGAAATCCATAGCAGTGGAGAAACAGAAAGCAAAAGGGTCAGTTCTTCTGCTCAGCAGCTCCTTCACCTGCTGATCCTGCAGTTCAATTTCAGGGCCCAGGTGAGAACTTCACAGTCTTGTTTTGGTAAACATATATATGTATTTATGACCCTGCAGAGATAAAGCTGCAAATAATTGCCAACTGTATTTTAAAATGAAGGAATGGTGATTAGGTAATGCAAGCATCAGGGAGGAAGAGCTGGCAGAGCATGAGTGGTCAGGGGAAGCGTCTTGCAGAAGTAAATCTGATCTGACTCCTAGCAGAGGAAGGAATTCTGGTGGTCTAGTGAGTAAGGGGTCACGCTGCCAGTCAGTAAGGCAGGCAGTTTGAATCCTCCAGCTGCTCTGAGAGAGAAAAATGTGCAGTCACCTCCTGTGCGATGTATAGCCTCTGAAACCCCACTGGAGGGTCCCCTGTGAATCAGTTCCAAGTTGATGGCACATACAACAGCAACCTTACAGAGGGCTTAGGGTTTGGGGCCAGGTTGTTTTTGGGGTTTCCCCCCACACTTTTATTTTTTATTTTTATTTTATATTGGTTTGCATAAAAATCTGTACACACTGTTTCATACTTGCCTTCATTCATATTGTATTTAATACAACCACTCCCATCTATGGTGTTGTATAAAATTAATCCTTATTGAATTATGCCTGCCATTGTTATGTGGCTGGATCAGGTGCACCTTAGTCTGCAGACTGACATCATTGCTCTTCAGTACTTTGGAGAGGTCTCTGACAGCAGACTTGCCCAATGCAATTTGGGTACCAAGAGTGTGTGGAGACAAGCAAATTAAAGCTGTTAACAGTCTCAATCTCTTCACCATCTGTCATGATGCTGCCAATTGGCCCAGTGGTGAGAATCTTTGTTTTCTTGATATTGAGCTTCAATCCATATGTAAGGCAGCAGTCCTTGACCTTCTGCAGCAAGCACTTCAGGTCCTCCTTCGTTGTGTCATCTGTGTAACGAAGACTGTTGATGAGTCTTCCTCCAGTGCTGATTCTCCACATAGAGCCCAGCCTCCCAGATAATCTGTTCTGCATTTAGATTGAAAACATATGAAGAGAGGATACATCCCTGGTGTACACCCTTCCCAATTTTGAACTATGCAGTGTTTCCCTGCCTTGTACCCTATCTTTTCAGGTTTCTGCTGGTTTCCCCCATTTTCTTTATCCCCTCCTTCTACCCAACAAATTGGGAGACCTTGTGATTTCCCCCCTGCCCACCCTCACTCCTCTGTTCCCAGCCTTTTCCCACTTTGGACCCCCAGACATGTTTTACTAGTTGTCCTTCTCTTTTTACAATAATCATCTTACCCATTATTTGGTGTTAAGTAACTTACTTAGTTCTCAGCCTAATGCTTTCCAGACTCTCCCAAGTTATGTAGTATTTTTTTAAATTGTTGTTCCTTAGTGTTGCATAGTACTCTATCATGTGACTATACCACAACTTGTCAATCCTTTCGATTGTAGTTGGACATCCATATTCTTGTGATGCTGAATTATGCTGCTATGAACATTGATAGGCAAATCTTTGTGTGCCAGTCCTAATTTTCTTAGGTTATATTCATAGCAGTGGAATTAGCTGGGTCATATGGAATTTCTATGTTCACTTTTTTTAAGAAATGCCACATTGCCTTCCAGAGTGGTTGCTCCATTTTAAAATCGTACCAGGGGTTGGGGTTGTGTTTGGTGTGGTTTTTGTTTTTTTTTGTTTGTTTGTTTGTTTGTTTTTTCTTCTCAAAGGGGACAGATATTTTCCAGAGTGAGTTCTACAGAATTTGTTTCCTAGGACATGCTCTATAGAGAGAATGTTTTAAGGTTCACTTAAGTTTGCAAAACCATCTTATACCTCAGGTCTAGGTGTTTTTGGAAGGATGGCCTCATGGTAAGAAACTACCTTGCAATCCCTACCTAAGGCATGCAGTTCTAATCCATCAGCTGTTCTGTGGGAGAAAGATGGGAAGCCTCCTCCTGCCTCCAAAAACCCACTGGATGGTTAGCTTTGAGTCAATTCTGACTCGGTAGTCCATAACAACAGTAGCTTGCTAGGAAGCTGTGGTTTCATGGCACATTACGTGTTGTACTAATCAAAAGCTAGTGGCCCAAATCCACCTGCTGCCTCTGGGAGAAGGATGGGTAGTCTTTGTCCTTATATAAAGACTGTTGTTGTAGTGTCTCATTTTGAACTGACTTATAGGTGACCCTCCAGTAGGTTTTCAGTGACAGTAAATAACAATTGCAATTATTTGCTATACATCTGAGAGCTGGATAATGACCAAGGATGTTAGAAGAATTATTGATGTCTTTGAATTGTGGTGCTGGCAAAGAGTCTTGAACATACCATGGACCTTCAAGAAAACAAATAGGTCTGTCTTGGAGACCAAGTTTCTCCTTGGAAACTAGGATTTTGAAGTTCTGTCTTCCCTACTTTGGGCATGTGGCCAGGAGGGACCAATCCTTGTAGAAAGACATTCTCAGAAGGGTGGAGGAACAGTGCAGGAGAGGAAGACCCTGGATGAGATGATAAGAGTAACTGGGGCAATGCGCATAGCTGTGTCGGAGTCAGTGAGACTGGCTCAGGACAAGACAAGCTTCAGAGCTGTTGTATATAGGGTTGCTATGAGTTGCAGGCAACTCGGTGGCATATAACAACAACAACAAATCACATGGGAGAATATTGCCCAAACTTCTCCCACAAAGCAGCTGGTGGATTCGAACCATAAGCCTTTGTGAGTGCAGTTTAGCTACCACTAGGCCACCGATAGGAGGTCACTGTGAGTTGAGTTTGATTTGATGGCAATGGGTTGGGTTTGGTGTTTTTGGTAATGCTTGCTAACTCACTGAAGACCCTGTGAACTCTGCAGTGTAGACCTAAGAACCACACATAGTCCAGTGTGTCTGGATCCCAGGCCTAGATCTCTACTAACCCCTAAAGCTCACGGAATTTGGGGGCTGCAGAACACTGCTGTTAGCTGTATTTGGGGAATATAGTTGACATTTGTCTGTGAGTACATAATTGCATTGCATTTGAAGATCATCAATCACTTTAACTGTAGCTCTTTAACAGGATAAATGATTTCAACAAGCTCAAATGGAAAAATAATTAATGAGGATTACATAGTTTTGGACCTCAGATGTCGTTGTGTTTTTCTTTCTCTGTTGCTTATTTATACTGTTCCATGAAATGCTTTCTAGGCTATTTACATACGATGGAAGCAATTAAGTCTTCTAAGCTGAGAATGGAAACATTTGTGAGAGACTCCTATTTTAACCAAGGTTTGGTTCTTTCCCTCTCCACACCCCTAGGTCTATTACCCCAATTTGGGATGGATGTGCATTGATGCCACCGATCCAGAGAAGGGGAACTGGCTACGATATGTGAACTGGGCTTGCTCAGGAGAAGAGCAAAACTTATTTCCACTGGAAATCAACAGGGCCATTTACTACAAAACTTTAAAGGTAACAGCTTTAGAATTAGTCTACTGTCTTTAAATAGTTCTTGACTGACAATAACAACTCTGCAGTCCTTGAAAGGGCTGTATTTAACATGATTCAGCACTAGCGTCCACACACCCAAGGCTCTGTGTTTTAAATATATGGTTGCCTCTGCTTCGTGTATGTTAAGAAACCAAAGGCTGAAGACTGTGTTAAGTAATTACAGACTGCGACTTCATAGACACTGATGAGTTAAGCCTGTGGCAGCTACTTCCCTCCTCCTCGGATACAGAAGCCTTAGGAACAGCCTGACTGGAAGATTTATGGCTCTTCGAGAAGCGCTTATGGCCGTGGTGGGCCAGTGCTAAGCTGAAAACACACTGGTACTCTTCAGTGTGTGGAAACCTTCAATTAGCTTCTCTCTTCTTCAATTTTTATTGTAAATAGGAACAAAGCAATATATTTATTCTTCTTCCAAATGGAGAAATTAATTTTTGAGATAAAAAGATGAAGAAGGTTGTTTTTCAGGGTATATGGTGAGGTCAGGGGTCACTGAGCCGACTCAGGGAAGTAGCAGGGAAGCAAATGCCGCTGTATTTCTGCAGCAAGGTCCTGCCCACCTGCCCATTCTTCTGAGCTGTGTTCCCCGAGGGTAAACCTGGACTCAGCGCACACTACAAGGTGCTCTGAGCCTCACCTGGAGGCTCTAAGTGCAGGTGCTTTTGCTTTGAGGCTTGCCAAGATTGCTGTTAGGCCAATTTCTCTTTATTCACTGTCTTCCATTAAAATGTCACAGATTTCAGGACAGCTTATGAAAAATTGATCTCCACAGAGTTGAAAATTCTTTGATGAGTAGGCATTTAAGATGTGGACAGCTTTGTCCCAAGCCACCAATCCCTTAGTGGATAGCATTGGAATACGGAAATTCAGTCCACATGGCCCTCTTTAATTTTCTATGGGGTATTATCATGACATGTTTAACTAACTGAACTACCTTTTACTTCAGATGCACCCACTTTTTTGTAACCAACCCCTGTAAAAAGTAATTTGTCATTTAAAACCTCTACAGCCTTGTTCCTAGATTTTTTTTCTCTTGGATTATGATAGCATCTTTTCCTAGTAGATATTATTTCTAGTAGGTATTACTGTCCAGTTTTGGTACATGAGAGTTTGAAACTTGATTCCACATTTGATTCAGGAGCTTACTCTCTTTCTCAAATTTATAGTGAGAGATGCAGCATATGATGTTGTATCAGCTTGGGGATAAATACAAGTCAGTCAAGGTGGTGGGAAGGAGGGGCCAAGGGACTTATTAAGACACTTTCCAGCCACTTCATTAGATTGGAGGTTAAAATGTGCTTGCTTCCCCATAGCAGATTTACAGGACTGTTTGTAGGCTAGTCGTTAGGAGAATGAACTCTGAAGCCAGCCTGCCAGAGTTGAATCCTGGCTTGTGTGTGACTATGTGCAAAGCCACTTCCTACTGTGAGTCCACTGTGTGACTTTACTGGTTTTATGTGCCAATACACGGCACCTGTATCTCAATTTCCTTAGCTTTAAAGTACTGAAAACCATAGTATTGACATACAGAGTTGCTGTGATAATGTTAACAGCTAGTAAGTGCTAACTAAATGGTGGCTTTTATTTTTGGAAGGAGCTTGGTTGGTGTAGTTGATTTGCCATCAGATGCTAACCTAAAGGTTGGCGGTTCAAACCCATTCAGTGGATCCTTGCAAGACAGGCCTGGCAAACTGATTCTGTACAGATTACAACCAAGAAAAACTATGAGTGCAGTTCTGCCTTGACATACTTGAATCACCATGAGTCACTGGCCTACTCAAGGGCTGCTAACACAATAGCATGATGTTTGGAGAGATGACATAGTGTGGTGAAGAGTGAGGATTCTAGATAGCAGTTACTTTGTATTTTAGTTTTTTATTTGTCAAATTGTAGAAAACAGTAGCACTCATTTACACAGTTATTTTTAAAGATTAAATAAATCAATATAAGTTCCTCTGAACAGTTCCTAATCTAGTATAATACATATTTTTTACTTGTCTTTGTCCAAAACAATACAGTCCTCCTTCCATCATGACTGTTGGTGTTAGCTCCAGGAAGCGCAAGACTTTCTAGACTCCTCAAAAGGCATCACTTCACCATACTCTTGTTTCCAGCATTCTGTGGGTTAGATGTTGGGGAAAAAATTACACAGAATATTCTCTCAGCACTAGCCTTTTAACCTACCACTCAGTGTTCACTACTTAAATACACACACACACACACACACACACACACACACACACACAGACAGAGAGAGAGTGTGTGTGAGTGTGCTGTGTGCCACTGTTGAAATTCCTGAGCAGCTCTGCAGGAAAATGATGAGTAATCCCTTCCCAGTTAGATTTACAACCTTTGTTGCTGTGAAGTGGAACTAACCTAGTACTACTCTGTATAAGGTACTCAAGATAAAAAGCAACAAAAGAGAGGCCTCTGGTTTCATGAAACTTCTGTTTTTTGAAAGAGGTCGATGATAAATAATAAATGCCAGGAAATTTGGAACACCACTACCTGACCAACTGGAAAAAATATGTATTTGTTCCCTTTCCCAAGAAGGGTCATCTAACAGAATGGAAATGTTCATCCAGGTCATTAATATCACTTGTTGTTGTTATGTGCCATCGAGGCGCTTGTGACTCATAGTGACCCGATGTACAAGAGCTCTAACTCCGTTCTATTCTGTGCCAACCTAGCCATCTCAAACACGCTTATTCCCACCACTCAAATCATAGAATCGAGCCATCTCATCGAAGGTCTTCCTCTCCTGCACCGCCCATCCACTCTGCCAAACATGATGTCCCTCTCCAAGGACCAGTCCCTCCTTGCAACATGCCCAAAGTATGTCAGACGAAGCTTCAGAATCCTTGACTACAAGGAGCATTCCATCTTCACCTTCTCCAGGACAAACCTGCTTGTCCTCCTAGCAGTCCATGGTATATTCAACACTCTTCTCCAGCACCACAGCTCAAAGGCATCAATTCTCTTTCTATCATCCCTATTCACTGTCCAACTCTCTGATGCATAGCACGTAATTGTGAAGACTATAGCCCGGATCAGGTGCACCTTAGTCTCCAGCCTGACGTCGTTGCTCTTCAGTACTCTAGAGAGGTCCCTCACAGCTGACTTTCCCAATGCATTCATCTCTTGATTTCCTGGATGCTGTTACCAAGAGTGTTGACTGTGGAGCCAAGTAAACTAAAACTCTTAACTATCTCAATCTCTTCACCATCCATACTGATGCTGCCAGTTGGCCCAGTGGTAAGAATCTTTGTTTTCTTGATGTTGAGCTTCAATCCATATAGGAAGCTGCAATTCTTGACCTTCTCTAGCAAGCACTTCAGGTCCTCCTCAGTTTCAGCAAGCAGGGTTGTGTCATCTGCATAATGCAGGTTGTTGATGATTCTTCCACCAATCCTGATGCCACATTCCTCTTCGTATGGCTCAGCATCTCAGATGGTCTGTTCTGCATACAGGTTGAAAAGGTATGGAGACAGAATACATCCCTGACGAACCCCCTTCTTGATTTTGAACCATGTAGTGTCTCCTTGCTCTGTTCTGACGACTGCCTAGCAAGCAAAATATTGTTGAAGACTGTGGATCTTGGCTAAAAGAAGAGTGTCCATTTGTATTTTATTGACTATGCAAAGGCATTTTACTATGTGGATCATAACAAATTATGGCTAACATTGAGAAGAATGGGAATCCCAGAGCACTTAATTATGCTCATATGAAACCTATATTATGATCATAAAACTGTTGTCTAAACAAGAGGAAAAGAGTATTGCATAGTTGAAAATGAAAGAAGGTGTGTGCCAGTCAGTGCTCTATCCTATATCTGTACCCATTCAATATGTTGTTGTTGTTGTTGTCATGTGCTGTTGAGTTGCCTGCGACTCATAGCAACCCTATGTACTACAGCCCTAAACCCTGCTCTTTCCTGTGCCAATCTCACTGTCTCTGACACACCTACCCCATTACCCCAGTCACTGGGTCAATCCACCTCATAAAGGGTCTTCTTCTCCTGCCCTTTCCCTCCATCCTCCCAAGCATGATGTCCCTCTCCGAGGACTGGTCCCTCTTTGTAACATGTCCGAAGTATGTCAGACAAAGCTTCAGAATCTTTGCCTCCAAGGAACAGCCTGGCTTCACCCTCTCCAAGATGAACCTGTTTGTTTTCTTAGCAGTCCACGGTACATTCAATACTCTTCTCCAACACCACAGCTCAGAGGCATCAATTCTCCTCCTATTGTCCAGCTCTCTGAAGCATAGCAAGTGATTGCAAAGACCATGGCCTATATCAGGCATAACTTAGTCTCCAGAGTGAAACCATTGCTCTTCAGTACTTTGGAGAGGTTCCTAACAGCAGGCTTTCCCATCATAATACGTCTTTTCATTTCCTGGCTGCTAGTGCCAACAGTGTTGATTGTGGAGCCAAACAAACTAAAGGTGTTAACAATCTCAATCTCTTCACCAGCAATCCTGATGCTGCCAATTGGCCCAGTGGATCAAATCCATGGGATTCAATATGTATGTTGAGCAAATCATTTGGGAAGCCATACTTTCTGAAGAATATTGCATCAGGATCAGATGAGGAGGACTCATCAACAACCTGTTACGCAGAAGGCACAGCCTTTCTTGCTCAAAATGCTCACTGCATCTCACCATCAAGAAAATAAAACTCACTATTGGACTATTAGACAACATCATGACAGATGGAAAGAATGAAATTGTCAACAATTTCATCATACTTGGATCCACAATCAACATCTTTGGTACGAGCAATCCAAAAAAATCAAAAGATGTGTTGCATTGGAGAAACCTGCTGTTAAAGACCTCTTCAAAGTACTTAGAAGTAGTAATGGTAGTCTAAAGACTAAAATGCGACTGATTTAGGCTATGATCGTTTTCGTCACTTGCTTTGTATCTAAGAGCTAGAAAATGAATAAGAATGACAGAAGAAGAATGGA